AAATATATGATGTATTTGACACAGTCGAATATAGTTGGCTCATTCTAATTAAACAAACTACTTCAACACAATCGAATGCTAGCTTTCTATAAAACTATGAATTACAACTAACACTTCTTAATTGAATTCATACTTGTCTGGACTGGTTTTAAGAAGTGTCAATGAATTAGAAGAGGTTTGAAAAGCATTTTGTGTGCATGTGTGTTGCCTTATTACCTCAAGACTTACTCTTGTTGCTTTTACAGTTTGAACAAATCAAACTAAAGTGTTAGTCGTTGGACCAGACGAGTTTTCACACTTTCAAGACCTTAAGACTTCAAGTTCTTTTGCTTGATTCAATATTGTCTAACACTTCAATTGGAGCTTGAACCATCTAACTGATAAGACTTAAAAAATTTTCTTCTTGATCATATACCATCATAGAAAATTATTGGCTTAATTTATCTTTTAGTCCCTTAAGTTATTTTGTTGTTTCTAATTAGTCCCACAATTAAAAATTGTTCCAATGTAGTCCTTTAAGGACACTCCATTAGCACAATAAATCCCTTATGTTAGTTTCTTTAGAAAAAACGTTAAAAGGCATCTATGTGGCATTTTTTGATACTTAGGTGGCATTGTTTTTATTTTTTTTCACCCTATTTTCTTTCTTATGTGTCAATAGGAGACCTTTGGTGTTGCTAAAATCCTTTTTGTTTTTTTTTTTAGTAACTAATATCCTAAACTATTCAGCTACTCTCAGAACTTCATTGTTGCTTCTTCGTTCCTTAAAATAACAGTAGCAGCTGCGAAGAACAAGATAGTTGTGGTTGAAGGCGACAGTAGTTTGCGAAGATGATAGCAGAAGAAGATACGTAGAGAGTCAAGAATTTTAATGAGGTACATGTACGAACTCATCATTTTAAAAAGAATTTGTATTTGAAAATTCCTTTTACTGCGATATGTGATTTCTGAGGTATCTTGTGTGACTAGGTGATGAGTGGTGATGGGTTTGAGTGTGTTATCTATCATGGGGTGAGTTTGGTGAGTTTAACAGATATGGTTACAATGGTTTAGAGGAGATTTGGCACGTTGACCAGGATTTTTAAAGTTATTTTGAGATTCTATATGGGTTGAAAGATTTAGGGTGCCTAAAAGTTGAAAGCTTGTGGTATTATGATTCAATGGATGATAATGAGCTAGTGATGTTGTAAGATGATGCAGGAACAAATAGAATGAAGACCATTGCTCTGATCAATGGAAATGTTCATCTCTATGTGATGCATCCAGTGTATGGGGAAGAGCAAATATTGCCTCTTGAGAATAATGTAGGTCTAAATGGTGAAACCAATGTAGGTTCAAATGTTGAAAATAATGTAGGTTAAAATGTTGTAGAAGACGACAGTTTGGAAGATGACATGTTGGATGAATTAAATAATGGTGTAAAATGAACTTTTGATGACTTGGGGACCATTAAAGAATTGAATAATATATGTGACAACTTTGATGAAGAAGGGCCAACGGGATTTGAAGATTCAGCTGCAGTTGACCAAGAAGCTTCATTTGAGAATGTTAATATGGATGGGACCACTGAGGGCAGTAACCAAAAAGAGTCATGCCAGGATGTTAACTTTGAGGGGGGACATTGTGTCTGAGGATGCCATAGTGGATATTACTTTAGATGGGACCACTGGACATATGGTATGTGACCAAAAAGATGATGTATTGGATGGCACACCCTACTTTGTGAGTGTTCAAACTGAACTTGTATCTGAGGGACTGATTTTTAACCAAGAGGTACATTAGGGAGCAAAATGTAACCAAGAAAATATGGGGCTTAAATGTAACCAAAAAGATTATGGGGATAGTAAAGATGATAGTGTGTTGAAAGAGATCTGTGTGAATCCTAGTGATGATTCAATTGGAATTGTTGAAGAAATTGATGTTGATATAGATGAAAGAAAAGGAAATAGGGAGGGAAAAGTTAAGGGTGAGGTGAAAGGAAAAGGTAAGGGTAATGGGAAAGGAAAAGGTAAGGGTAAGGGGGGACCAAAGAAACAAAAAGTTGTGGAAGAAGCAGTTGAAGGTAGTGGTGTATTTAATGATTACAAATGGGAATTAGGGACTTATTTTGCTTCTAAGGAACTTTAAAGAGGCAATTAGAACTTATGATATTCATTCTGATAGAAACCTACAATTTAAGAAAAATGATAATAAGAGGATGAGAGTCATATGTAAGAAAGTTTGTCCATGAGAGTCATACTGTGCAAAATTACAAGATAATAATACTTGACAGTTGAGAAAGATTATGGACAAGCACGCATGCATCAAGCCTACCACCACCAGGTGGAGGTTCAACTCGGCAAGTATAAAAAAAAAGACTTCAAAAGGGTCTAAAACCTGTTCTGAGCCAAATATAAGATTATGTTTATCTTTGATGTGTACTAGTTATTCCACTTTTTGCCTATTATGTAGTTTAATACTAAGGCTTATAATGCCACTTTTGTTGGATTTCAACTACTGTAACATATGGCATAAAATGCATATACTCTAGTTATGTCTAATGGCTTGCAATGCCACTTTTATAATGACTTGTAATGTTAATATTGCAACTAATGTTGTGATTTTGTGACTATTGTTATGATCATTTTATAGTTTGCATTTGTTCTTGTAATTGTGGGAAACAAACAAAAGTAACATTTCACATATACAATTCATTGATATATTTTAACAAAAACATAAGTAACATTTCATAAATAAAAACAACTATATTTCATTGATATATTTTGACAAATACATAACAATGTTGACAAAACATTTCACAGATACAATTCAATCTCCTTGTTCACAACTACATGTCATTACACAGAAAAACAACCAACCTAAAAAATAATTGTTACAAATATAAAATTAAACAATAAGCTCAATATTCCAATGATTATAGACAATTTCAATCATCCCCTTATGTTGATGATCTAATTCTTCAACTTGTAAATTTTCTTCTTCCGCCTCTGGATCTTCAAATCCCTTTCATCAATAATATTGTCGTCGAACCATTTGAAGAAATTACATCCCTTTTTCACATGATTTCTGAAATTTCTGCAACCCCAAAAATTTTTTCTCAAAATTGACACTACTCGTGTCACCCACGGTATGAAGCATGCATTCATCTGTGCAAAAACACTCCCTCCTTTTGTTTCTTCGAACAACAAACTCAGATGTACCAATTGAAGAACTGCTTGACATTTTAGACATTAGAGATGAAGAAGAAAGACAAACCCTAAGAATTGAGACAAAATGAAAAAAAAATGAGATGAGGAGAATAAGATGTAGAGAACAAGATGAAGAGAACAGGATGAAGGAAGCTACGAGAAAGAAGATAAATGAACCATGCAGACGAATATGCTGAGAAGAAGATGCAGGAAGCTACAATCGTTTTTTCTAAAAACCATCACCGTGAAGCAAACATTTAACCCTTCAAAAGCTAAATTAATTATTCATTTGATGACTAGGCATACAGTTGGAACGTCATCCTGGAAGTAACTAACGGTCTAACACATGAATGAACAGAATGGATCAAACACGTTAACGATAGTAACATTATGGGACCAAATCGAATAGTTTTTTTATTGAGGGATTATATCGTAACTCATAAATAACTTACAGGACTTAGGGACAAATTATGTCAAAATTATTGAACAATTGATATAAACTCTCCCTTTGACTTTTATCACAAAGAACTTCTTAAAGAGAACTATCAATCCTCAAAAGTCATTTGACTTATGGAGTTTTCATCTTTTAAATTGCTTGACGATTATAAACATCAAAACCAACTGTCAATTATACCTACCTAACACATAGAATTTATATCAAGAATGTTTTTTTCTTCAAGTAGTCTAGTGGTTGGAATTCGCCCTTTTAAAAATGAATAAGACGTCGCAGTTTCGAACTAGCGCCCTTATATATATATATATATATATATATATATATATATATATATATATATATATATATATATATATATATATATATATATATATATATATATATATATATATATATATATATATATATATATATATATATATATATATATATATATATATATATATATATATATATATATATATATATATATATATATATATATATATATATATATGCACTACAATCAATTGAACTGACAACTAGAATTGAAAACTGAGTTTTAACTTACAAAGAATTTTGACATTGAAATCTCTCAAACTATATTCCACCTACCATATCAATTTGTTGACAATAAATTATTCATTTTCAATAATTATAAACATTACCTAAATTAGTCATAAATTCATATTTCAAAAGATCAACCTATCATTCAAATTACAAACTTTACCTATATTCACTATATTAGAATTTAGTGATTTACATTGCACGTCCAAAGTGATATTAATGCATGCCACTAGGATCACAAACAAACCACTCATTCAAACCCAAAAAAGTGCACACAATCCTTTCTCAAAAGATAACTGCATCATCCACAAACGTATCAATCAAATATCTTACCAAAAAATCCATTAAAAATATCACAAATTCACAAACAAATAAATGTACTTTTTCCAAAATAAATATCTCAGAAACTTTATCTCATTGCCACGTTAACTAGACCCCACGTGTTATCCAATCCACTTTTTCAGTTCAACGAAACCTTGTATAGTTCTTAGAATTCTTGTGAACCCATTTGAGATTTTAGATTTTAGATTTTTACATAGTTTTTACCATAAAAGGATCGTTTTTTCTTAACCCCTTTTGATTGTATTTCTCAATTTATCGAAAAATTGTAGTCATCTGATTGAACTTTTGTTAGAGAAAAGACAAACTTTTTGTGTTACCCTTTTGAATTTCCTCTATTATGTGCACGGATTTCCCATGGTTTTGATATAAATTTGATGAAAAATGCTTTTTGGGTGAATGGGTTTTTTAGTGTGAAATTGATCATTTGTTTTGTTTTTTCTTTGATTTCTTTAAGAAATCTGTAATCAAACATGAGTACAAGTGTTTCTCTCAACCTTGAATGTTGGAAACTGAGAACCCTTTATTCTCTTCCCTCTGATTCATGGAAATCACCTCGTTCAGTTTCTTGTCATACACAGAAACATGTCACTGAGAGGAACAAAATCAATGGTTTTTCTTTTTCCTTGTTGTCTAGGTCAAGGAGCTTGAAGGGTAAAAGAGTAAATCGTGCTTGTTCTTGTTCTGCTGTTTTTGATGATTTTCATTTTCACAGTGATGAAAGTGGAAGAGAAATCTTGGAGCCTTCTTTACTTGGGATTCAACCTGAACCACCTAGTTGGCCAGAGAGAGAAGAGATTTTGAGACTGAGTTTTGAAAGGAGAGTGAAAAGTGTTGGAATCCCTTTGTCTATTAGGATGATTAAGAAGAAGCTACAATTGGAACAAGGTTTTAGAGATGAATCAAGTGAATTGAATAATTGTTCTATTAAGAAGAGTTTTGGATCTTTGTTGTTTATTCTTCACGAGCTTCAGAATCATGCTTTGCAAACAAGGGAATCACTTTGTGGTGAAGATTTGAAAAGTGTTATGGTTAAGCTAAATAGAGAAATGGATGATTCTTTTGTGTGGTTGTTTCAACATGTTTTTAGTGAGACACCATCTCTCATGGTTGATGTTATGGTTTTCCTAAGTAACTTTTCTGTGTTTTCTATGTATAACAACAATATTGTTAAGGATGTGAGTGAAGTTCTACATGGTGTTGTGGTTCAAGATGAGTGTGTAAAGAAAGAGTTGACAGCAGTGGAAGTAAAGTTGTGGAATTTTATATTGGAGGAAGCTTCAAAGATGCGGACAGAATTGAGGGGTGAGGTTTTGGATCATGAAACAATGATGAAGTTTGTGGCACCAGTTTGTGTGGAGATTGAAGGGGATCAATATGAGGAATATGAGAAAACTGAGGCTTATTACAAAGAGCATTTAGGCCTTTCACCTTACAATTCACTTCTTCTGTCAAATTATGCACAGTTCCTCTTCCTAGTTCTTCATGACACTGATGGGTGAGTTCTCAGAATCCAATTTGCTGATACAGTTTGATTTATTATTTGCAGTTTTAGAGTTACATGTTTTATTTATCACTGATTAAACTTGTCTATATGAGTGCAGTGCTGAAGAATACTACAAAAAATCAGTGCTAGTGGAGTCACCAGAGGGTGAAACATATTGTAGATATGCTGATTTCTTGTTGTGGATAAGAAAGGATAATTGGGCAGCAGAATTGAGATATCTACAAGCATTGGAATCAGATCCTGGCAACACTTTTTATTTGTCAAAGTATGCTAGTTTCCTTTGGAATACTGATGGACAAGAAGACAATTCTACTAGCTTTCCTATAGAAGAATTAGATAACTTACAAATATGATATTCTTCATATTATCCATCTTCATATGTATAAGAAAACACATCAATATGCAATTACATTTTCTAACTCGTTGATAGTTTTACATTTCGATTCTGTTTTGATTTACATCTAGTGTTATTAACAGTTCATTCATGCATAAGAAAGTGTAGTTTTTTTTTTTGTCAAAATCACAGTGATACACACCCTCAATTCAAACATCATTTTGTTAGGACTACACACTAGATAAACTCAATTTCTAAAAATTTAATATCCCTCAATATTCTTCTACATTACAAAATCTTATTCTAAGGGACAAAAAACGCCCTTACCTAGAATGCTAACTTGCATTACACGTCAAAATATTACAAGAAATCAACCTAAGGAACTTGCTAAAACAGGGTCAAAAAGCAAGAATTGTGTATAAAAAGATTCAATATCATACAGCTCTATTGACTAACAAGAACGCGGTAACTGAACTAGCTACTGAACACTAATGGACAACAGTGGAATTTCTAAAAATGTAAAGAAAAGTACACTCTACTAATCACCAAAACCAGACATTGCGACTGTCAACTGCTTTCACTGAAGTATATACCAAGGGCATCTGCCCGAACATGGCGGTAAATACGTTGACACACTCTGATCTTCGTATACTGTGACCTCCCAAACTACTAATTCCTGTTGATCCAATTTCGTATATTTTGCCTGTAACAAAGACAGAATCACCCAAGTTAATTAACATCATATACATTACCTATCATCTTTGTTGTATGAATGGCATATATCAACATGGTTTAGAATCATCGAGTAGTGTTCGATTTTTATCACCCCGATGGACAATATTAAAACAAGCATTAGCATGGAAGTTTACAATCAACTACTTCCTTTTGCTACTGCTATTGCATTTTTGTATGCTAACAAGATAACCAACACCAGCTTATTCAATGTAATAAGATACAGAATTGTTAAATTACCTTTAACCCATAAAGGGGGTGCACCAGTTGCATTTGCGACAAGAAAAGACATTGCAATATCTTCGCAATTCCTGGTAAATCAATTGAATTACTGAGAAATAACAAAATAATTGGAACTAAAGTTTGAAAGATTGAAATCTGATAAGAATTAAGGTAGTTGGTGGGTGTTCAGTTCAGATAAAAACCTGTTGTTGGTTACATATTCTCTAATCGATGATGGCATCTCATTTGTGTAGAGACTGAAATACTTTTTGTGAAAGAATGCTGCCTTGGAGAGCACCATGCTATATGTACCCGTCCACCACACAGACCACCATCCGCCATATTTAAACTTGATGTCATCGCCATTCTGCAAAAACATTGAATAACTTGAAAGATTAGCGTTACGAGTTTTTCGATATTTTTCCTTTCTCCAAACTAAACATGGGAAAAATAATATACTAAACTTAACAGACATTAATTGTATGTTCACATCAGGTTTAAAGATGCATCAAACATGACTAGCAGCTTATGTCCCCGGATTATAATGAGGGCCGGCTTTAGAAACTAAATTACACATGTGATATACAAAGCAGCGGCATAAAAGAAATATCGAGGGGCATAAAAGAAATATCGAGGGACCAAATTATCAAGGATAATGGCCAAACATCTCGTAAAAAAACCATACCAATGAATCCACCCAATGTACACGAGGTACAAACCCCACCATTGCATTTGGTGCACTTTGCCAAACATCAAATGCAAATTCCACTGAAGAGCAAGGAAATATGACATCGTCGTCAATAGAAAAGACAGCATCAGTCTCCAAATCCTTGATTTCTTTAAATCTATTGTTCAAACTGTCTTCTTTGTTGATATCAAACCTCAACTTCACATATTGTCCATCTCTAGACTTGGATTTTACAGCTTGGTACAGAAATTTTAGAAGACTTTCTGATGGAGGATCGGGTTCACTCCACACAATATGTACTGAATCAAGTCGAGGACAAGATGAATAATGTTTGACAGACTGCTTTAAGAGATCATATCGCTTCCATGTGTTCATTACAATAGAATATCCTTTCCTGGAAACAAAGAATAAACAACAATTAGTTCTCTGGTATTACAGCAACAAACTCTCAAGTGCTCTGAAAATAAAATTTAGAAACTAAAAGTCAACCCCAGATTTTGTTCTTTTTTCTGTTTTCCCTTTTCTCCAATTTCATGGTAAGGTGACTTTGAAAGCTCACCAAGAAATGATGACTCTGGCAATATTAAACAAAAAAGCACGGACACGGATACGAACACGCACACAACCCTGACACGTAGTAATTTAAAAAAAAAATGAATGAATTGAACGTAACCACAAGTGTTTGTGTCAGACTCATACACGTCGACACCAGTAATAATTTAAAAAAAGTAAATAAATAAATTGAACGTAACCACAAGTGTCTGTGTTAGACTCAGACACGTCTTTTTTTAGAGGAATTGGTGCTACAGAGATATTAAGTGCTGGGTTGAATTCATGTTTCAGAGGGCAAAAACTGTTTACCTTCCCTCAAACATTTCCTTCTCTAAAACTTGATTAAAAATTTTAATGTTTGAATATTTCGAATCAAAATTGATAATTTCTCTATCCACTATCAAGTTCATACTGAAACTTGACCATATCAATACTGAAAATTGACAAAATCAATATTGATATTCAAATGTTGTCAAAATTGATACTTCAAACTGAAAATTGACCAAATCATTACTGAAAATTGACAAAATCAATATTGATATTCAAATGTTGTCAAAATTGATACTTCAAACTGACCAAATCAAGTTCATTTAAAACTTACTAGACAAACGCTCACCAAAACACACTAAAGTATCCATCAGACACATAATCACTGGTCCAAATTCCAGTACACAATCAGATAATCGCCAAACAATAGTACCAAAATAAAAGGTTCAAAGTCCAGAAAACAGTTCCACCACACAAATATGAACAAAACAACCATTCCCCCAAACACCAATATCCGAAATTTGCAGCACCAAAAACTCATACAGAACATATAGCTCCTTCAGAACTCAGAAACTGATTTCAATCTATAAACAACACAGTTCTATTCACCTGAATCCATTGTTTCCAAATCCGAATCCTAAACATTAACTATCATTTAATCATAATCATATCCCTAATTTTCTCTCCAAAATGAACTTAACACTAATCTTCAAATCAAGCCAATAACCTACTACTTCTATTAAACCCTATTAAATAAAACCCTATTATAAACCAAAAGACAACAATTAAAACCAAACAGAATCTTAGTCCCAAACACTTATATGGAAATTCCATAAAAAAACCGAAACTTTGTATCTTTCGAACAAAATAAAACCTTTTTATAATCAAACCAAAACAAATTTAATTTATTTTCATTGGTGCAATAAGTATTATTAAAAAGGGAAGGAAAATAAAACGAACCTTGAATCAGTGAAACGACGAAGTGGAGGAGTTTGATAATTATTATTATTATTATTACTCCATAATAAGAAAGTTGAACCAGTTGTTGAAAATGCGAGAAGCGTTAACGCGACGCAAAAAAACAGCAGAAGCTTGATCTTCACTGATTTAACGGTGGAGATCGCAAGTAACCGAAACCTTTGCTCAATCCGACGGTTCAACCAACAGCTCCCTCTCATCACCGCCGTTAACAAGAATCTAAAAACCAAAACCCGGTGATCTTACTTCTTTTGAACCGGTTCGGTTCAGTGGCGAACCAAAACGCACACCATTTCGAACCGGAGTTTCGGTTTCAGGCTCGGTGAAGACGAGGCAGAAAGAGGTTCGAAGTGATTCCAGAAAACTCAGGTGTTGGGTGCCACGTGGATGGTTTGATCGCCGTTGGATGATCGGATCAAGAATTTGGAAACGGGATGGTGTCTTCGGCTATGGTGTTTTTTTTTATTCGCAGAATTCAGAGTTCACGCATTTCTATATTCTGCACGCTATTATATGAAGGGAATTGAATGCTGTTAAAGTTTCAATTTTGTGTTTTACACGGTGTTTGGAAGGAAGGAAAGGAAGCGGAGTGAAAGGGATTGAAAACATGTAAAGAGAAAATGTCTGTGTGAAGTTTGGTTATTTGGCGTTGCGTAGGAAAGAGATCTCTCTGATTGGAACAAAATGAATGAAAAGGAAAGATCTAGTTCAATGAATAGATTGAGACTACCTGGGTTGTCATTTTATCCATTTTTTATATAATAATTACTATAAGATATTCGTACACCCCCCTATGAATAAATTTATTTAATAAGGTATACAAGGGTATTTAATTTTGAAATAAATTATTTAATTATAAAATAAACAATTATAATTTAAAGTTAATCGTATTAAATAATTGTTAAAAATGTGAGATAAAGAAAAAAAAGAAAATTTTGACATTTAAATATAATAATTGATTAAAATAAAATAAGTATTTTACCCGTAAAAATTTATAAAATGTAGAATTTTATTATTGTATTTATGTGTTAATTTTCTATCTATATTATTCATCAATTACCAACAAAAGTGGGAATCAAATTAGACTTATTTATCAATTGACAAAGGTTGTGGATCTAAAGTTTGAAAATTAAACTTAATTGTTCAATCAAATTCCTTATCAATAGGGTTGTGAAATGGGTTCAAAAATGAGAATTAGGAAATTAAAGTGGTTCACTTATTACATCTATGGTGTTTTCTTATTTGGCCTCTTAGATGGTGTGTGGCTTGAGTTAACATCAGAGTTCTAGTTTTGAGAAACATTTAAATTTGGCTAAATATGTTATTGTGCAAACAAAAAAAAAGAGTATGTTGTTGAGAAACAAGTGTGAGTTGTATAAGCTCCACATTACTTAAAAGAATGGAGACTGAGTACTTTATAAGTGAACACTAATAGTGTGATGGAAGTACAAATCAACTTGTGAGATATTGGATTGAACTCTAGTATGGTCGAAGGATAGCTAATAGTTCGATAGGTATTAACCATGAGGTCGAAGCATGTTCGCATGTTGTTGCCGGAGTAATGCGTGTTGTAGTCGAAG